ATTGATAGAAATTATCCAATATGAGGAATGCAGAAGAAAAAGAATAAAGAAAAAGAAAAAAGATCTCAAAAAGTGTGCAACAAAATCAAGCAAACCAACATGTCTATAACATGAGTTCCAGAAAGAGAAAAGAACAATAAATTTTAAGAGATGAAAAAGAGAATAGTATTTGTGAAGAAATAATACCAAAACCTATCCAAATACTCAAACTTGATTTAAAAATTATTCTAAACATCTATAACACTTGGGGGGAAAAACACAAGTAGGATAAACACAAAAAGAGCACACCTAAATGCACCATAATCAAATTATTGAAATACAAAGTAAAATCTCAAAAGCAACAACAGAAAACAAGTCAATATACATAGAAGAAAAAAATCAATATGATTAACAGCTGACTTCTCATAAGAAATAATGGAGACTATAAGGCAATAGAATGACATTTGAACTGCTGAAAAAAATGAGTAAGAATTGTATCTAGATCAAGCAAAACTATACTTTGAAAATGAAGTCAAAATAAAGGCATTCACATATAAACAAAGAGAATTTGTTGATAGTAGACATGCTTTACCAGATATATTGAGAAAGTCCTATCTAGTCATAAAAGGAACATACCTCAAAATATTAAGAGCCATCTACGAGAAACCCCACCGAGCATACTGCTAAACAGACAGAAATTGGAACCATTTCCCCTGAAAACCAGAACAAGACAAGGATAACCACTCTCACCGCTCCTTTTCAACATAGTTTTGGAAGTCCTAGCTAGAGCAATTAGACAAGAGAAGGAGATCAGTGGTATCCAAATAGAAAAAGAGGAAGTCAAGTTATCCCTCTTTGCAGATGACATAGTTCTATACCTCGAAAACCCAAAAGAATCTGTCAAAAACCTCCTTGCACTGATAAAGGACCTTGGCAAAGTCTCAGGGTACAAAATAAATGTACAAAAGACAGACGCATTTCTTTTTTTTTTTTTTTTTTTTAGGCGATTGCTTTCTCCTGGAGTTGGACATTTTTATTCAAGCAATTTTTGGATTAGTTCAGTCAGGTGTACAAGAAGAAAAGAAACGGGATAACAGGTTAACCACCTTTTACTGAGTTTCATTGCAGGACACTGCATTTATTTCCCACAAAAGACCTGGTAGATATCATTCTAATCTCTGTCTTACATATGAAAAAATAAAGTGAGCATTCATTCTTATGTCTCTCTAGATACATTTCCATCATTCTACCACTCTGCTCTGTGGACAGTTGCATTACGATACACCAATAACAAACAAACAGAAACCCAAATAAAAAGCACAATCCCATTCACAATGGCCAGAAAAAAATCAAATAGCTTGGCATCTTCCTAACCAGAGATGTGAAAGACCTTTACAATGAAAACTACAAAGCACTGCTCAAAGAAATCAAAGATGACAAAAATAAATGGAAAAACATTCCATACTCATGGATTGGAAGAATCAACATTGTTAATATGTTCATCCTATCCAAGGCAATCTATAAATTTAACACAATACCCATTAAATTGCCAGAAGCGTTCTTCTCAGACCTAGAAATGACAATACAGGAATTCATATGGAAACATAAATGGCCACGAATCACCAAAACGATCCTCAGTAAAAAAAAAAAAAAAAAAAAAAGCAGGAGATATCATCCTCCCAGACTTTAAACTCTATTATAAGGCTACAATAATCCAAACAGCCTGGTATTGGTACTAGAACAGGCATATAGACCAATGGAACAGGAGAGAGACTCCAGAAGCAAAACCTCAATTTTTCAACCAACTCATCTTTGACAAAGCCTCCATCACTGACTGGGGAGAGGGGAATCTATTCAGTAAATGGTGCTGGGAAAACTGGTTGACCACATGCAGAAGATTAAAACAAGATCTCTACCTATCACATACACAAAGATCAACTCTAAATGGATCAAAGACCTAAATGAAAACCTCAAACCATAAGAACCTAAAATGCAGGAGATACCCTTATGGAAATTGGAACTGGCAACCAATTCCTAATCAAAACCCTAAGTGTCCAGGTCATAAGAGATAAGATAAACAACTGGGACCTCATCAAACTGACAAGCTTCTGAAAAGTCAAAGAAACCATCGAGAGAGCAGGGAGACAGCCCACGGACTGGTAAAAAATATTTGCCTACTGTATATCTGACAAAGACTTTAAATCTAGGACCTACAAGGAACTCAAACATGCAAAAAGAAAAAACAAACAGCCCCATTACAAAGTGGACAAAAGATATGAATAGACACTTCTCAAAAGAAGACAATTTGAGCAGCCAACAGATACATGAAAAAATGTTCAGCCTCACTAGTTATCAAGGAGAAGCAAATTAAAACTACACTTAACTCCAGTCAGGATGGCTATCATCAGATACATGAAAAAATGTTCAGCCTCACTAGTTATCAAGGAGAAGCAAATTAAAACTACACCTAACTCCAGTCAGGATGGCTATCATCAATAACTCAAAAAACAACAGATGCTAGAAAGGATACAGTGAAAAAGGAACACTTTTACACTGTTGGTGGGAGTGTAAATTAGTACAGCCTCTGTGGAAAACAGTGTGACATTTCCTAAAAAATCTAAAAATCGACCTTCCATATGACCCCACAATCCTGCTATTGGGAATATACCTGGAAGAACTCAAATCACTCTATAAAAAAGATACCTGCACACAGATGGTTATCGCAGCATTGTTCACAATAACAAGAACATGGAACCAACTGTGCTGCCCAACAAAAGAGGACTGGATTTTTTTAAATGTGGTACATATACACTATGGAATATTATGCAGCCATAAAGAACAAAATCATGAACTTCACAGCAACCCAGATGGACTTAGACTCTATAGTACTGAATGACCTTTCACAGAAACAAATAACTAAGTATCACATGTTCTCACTCATAAGCGGAACTGAATAATTTTCATCATACTATAAGAGAATGATTGGCAGTAGTGAGAAACAGCCGAGAGGTGGGTGGGGAAGCAGAATTGGCAGTAGTGGGAATCTTCCTGGGAAAGGGGGGGTACGCCTCATTAACAAGTGTACCTGCATAATGAACATTTGTATACCTAACCCTGAATTGTAACCCACCTCTCTAAAATAAAAATAATTAAAAGGATTAAAAGGTAAAAAATAAATAAAATATATAGTTCATCTTGGGGGGAAAAAAAGAAAGTTCTTCAGACTGACACCATGCAGCAACTTAAATCCATACAATGAAACAAAGAAGTATGGAAAAGATAGACAGATGATAGATAGATAATTAGATGATAGATAAATAGAGATCTATTTAATCACTTTTATCTCTTTTCTCTTAATTGATTTAAAATACATTAAATAAAATAATTTTTTAAATTGTATGATAAGCATATAAAGACACACATGGCAATAAAAGCATCAAGAAGCAAGGGCAAGATGGTATTATACTGGAGCAAGATTTCTATGTTTTATCAGAAATAAGTCAATGTTAGTCCAAAGTAGATTATAAGAAATTAAGTTGCATAGCTTAACCTTCATAGCAACCAATAATAAAATAATTTAAAAATATGGTTGATACAAAGACAAGTAAGAGCACACAAGATAATATTTTATAAACTCAAAAGAAAGCAGAAGAGAAAAATATATGAGACATAGTGAAAACAAATCGCAGGATGGCCGACATTAACCCAATAATATGTACAACTTTATTAAATGTGAATGGATTAAATATGTCAATCAAAAGATATAAACTTTCAGACTGAGTGTTTTAGAATGACAACCCATGCAAACAGCAACTAAATGGGCTAAAGTTACTATAAATAATATAATGCAAAATAGACCTTAATACAAAAATACTACAAGAGAAAAAGAAGCCCATTTAACAATGCCAAAAGTTGAACTCATTTAGATGATAAAATAATTATAAAGGTATATGCATCCAAAAAAAGATATCTAGATAGATGAAGCAAAAACTGGCATGTAAAAGGAAAAATACACAGTTCAACAATAATAGTGAAGACTGCAATACTCTACTCTCCATAATTGATGGGACACAGAATATCAATAGTAATGTATAGAAGACAAACAAAACTATTAACAAACATGATATATCTGACATTTATAGAACACTCTAGCAAACAACAACAGAATACACATACTTTTCAAACACAAGTGAATTGTCTCTATGACATATTACATGCTAGACCATAAAACAAGTCTCAATAAAATTCAAATGATTTAAAACATGCAAAGTGTGTCTTATGACCACAACTGAATTAAAAATCAAAAACAAAAAGAAATATGAACAATTTCCAAACACTTGGAATTTTAAAAACATACTTCTAAATAACCCATGAGTCAAAAAAGAAATTACATGGAAAATTAGAAAATAGTTTAGCTTAATAAAACTGAAAACACAATACATGTTAAATATAAGAAATGCAAGTAAATGGTGCTTAAGGGTAATCCTTTGAGGAGTAGTATTTTTCCATGTTAGTAAACCTTTGTGTATGAGGAAGACACACATTTATAAATGAAGTCTCAAGGTTTAAAAGTGTTGTGAATTATTTTGTAACAATAATTGTAACTGTAACAATACATATCATTTACTCTTTTTCTATAATGACATCTTTTCCATGATAACAGAAATATCTACTCAAATATAGACAAAGCTAAACAGATCACTAATGTCATATTACCATGTAAACTTTTTGCTACAAGTCATTTTGCTTCAAACTCAACCTAGAGCAAATTCTACTTTTTAGTAAGTAAAATTAGAACAAGTTGTCAAACCACAAATATAACAGCAAGAAAATAAAACAGCAACCAAATAAACAAAGTTATTAGAAATATTTAGGTGGATATGGTAAAACCTGGTGTACCTAAAATATTTCAATTACAACTTCCATCATTTTCCACTTACAGAATATGTGGGAAGACTCACAGACCTCAGCTTTCTTCTTTCCAAATAAAATATGAAATATCAAAAGTTCAAAAACCTTACCTCCATCAGAACAAAGAGCGCTGCAAAGAACAGAAGTGTTGCCCATTCCACTCTGTGTAGAATTATCTCAAAATCATGGATATCAGCTAAAATTAGCAACCAAATGGCACCCAGAATAGCAATCCATCCTGAAAAATAAGTAAATGGACATATAGAGCTAGTTCAATTGTTAATACCAGTTGTTTATCTTCTGCTTGCCTTTTCTTTATTGAAGATAATTGTCATACTGCAAAGTACATATATTTAAAGTGCATAATTTCTATTTGGGCTTACAAGTATATTCATGAAACCAACATTGTAATCAAGATAATGAACACACCCAATGGCTCCAGAAGTTTATTCATGCCCATGTTTTTATACCCCCTCAACAATTGTCATCCCCTACACAATTCCAGTAAGCCATTCACCTTTTTTCTTTCACTGTAGGTTGGTTTGCATTTTCTATATTTTCCATGAATGCAGATCTCCTATAAATCATACAGTATTTTTTGTCTGACTGCTTCTCAATGAAAAGATCATCCAAACAAAAAATAAATATTCAGCGTAATCATTTTAAGATTCTTTAATGTTGGTGGGTGGGTCAATAATTCATTCTTTTTTATTGTTGAGTAGTATACATTATATAGATATGCTTCAACATATACACCATTCACATGATGATGGATATTTGGATTGTTTCTGGTGTTAGGCTATTTCAAATGAACATGCTATGAACTTACATATGCTATTCTTTGTATATACATAGGCTGGCTGGATCATATAATCAGTTACCATTTATGTGTTTAAAAATACAACAAAACCTTTCTAAGATAGTTGTCCAATTTTACAACCACCAGCATTATATGAGGATTCCACTTCCTTTCCATCTTCACCAACACTTGATCGGCCTTTCTAACTTCAGGCATTCCAATAATTGTGAAGTGGTATCTTATTGTGGTTTAAAATTGCATTGCCTGAATGACTAGTGATATTGAGCATTTTTTCATGTACTTGTTTTCCAACTATATATCTTCTTTCATGAAGTTTTTGTTCAAATGTTCTGCTCCTTTTATTTCTTACTGGGTAGAGCAAATGAAACCCAAAATAAGTAGAAAAAAAGAAAACAAAAATTGGAGCAAAAATCAATGAATAGAAAATGGAAAACTACTAAAGAAAAGCAATGATCTCAAAACTTGGTTTTTGCATTGAGATACCACCTAACCCCAATAAGAATGGCTGTCATCAATAAACCAAGTAACAACAGACACTGGAGAGAATGAGGAGAAAAAGGAACGCTTCTACACTGCTGGTGGGAATGCAAACTAGTGCAACCTCCTTGGAAAACAGTGTAGCGATTTCTGAAAGAACTAGAAATCAACCTTCCGTATGACCCAGCAATACCCCTACTGGGAATATACCCAGAGGAACTCAAATCATTCTACACAAAAGATACCTGCACATGCATATTTATTGCAGCACTATCCACAATAGCAAAAACATGAAACCAACAATGCTGCCCATTGAAACTAGACTGAATTTTTTAAATGTGGTACATATACACAATGGAATATTATGCAGCCATAAAGAAGGACAAACATATGGACTTCACAGCAACTTGGATGGATTTAGAGTCTATCATACTCAGTAATCTATCACAGAAACAAAGAACAGAGTACCATATGTTCTCAATCATAAGCGGACCCTGAACAATTCCCATAATACCTTAAGAAAGGGATTGGCAGTAGTAGTATACTACTGGGGTGGGGATGGCGGGGAGGACACAACATCAATAAAGGTACCTCATCTCAAACCAGGCAAAGTGGGGACCAAAGGGAAGCCCAAACTTTACCTGTACAAAGACCACTTGTATACCTAATCCTGAATGGTACCCCACACCTTAAAATAAATAAATAAATAAATAAATAAACCTGGTTTTATAAGCTCATTAAGACTGATAAACTTTTAGCTAACCTGAGCAAGACAAAAATGCCAATATTTAGAATAAGATCAGTGACATGACTACAGATTCTATAGTTATAAAAAAAGTACTTGTTTTCTATAGCTGCCATAACAAATTATCATAAACATACTGGTTAAAATAACACTTATTTATTATACCCAGTTTTCATAGATCAGAGTACAGTGGGTCTATAGCAGGGTGTCTGATTAGAGTCTCACAAAGTCAAGGTGTTGGCATGGCCGCATTCCTTTCTGCGGGTTCTAGGAGAGACTGTTTTAGGTTATTGACATAATTCCATTGCTTATAGCTGTAAGACTGTGGTCCTCATTTCCTAACTGGTTGTTACCCAAAGAATATTCTTAACTTCTAGAGGCTCTCTACATTCTCTGGCTCATGCCTTCCCTCTCCATCTTCAAAGCCAGCAATGGCAAGTCAAGCTCCTCTCACACTTCAAATCTCTCCTGCCTTCTCTTCTGTCACATCTCTTTTGTCTTCCACTTTCCTTTATAAGGGCCCATGTGATTACAATGGATGCTGGATAATCCAGAAAACTCTTCCTCTATTAAGGTTTATAACCTAAGTTCTACTTGCAAATTTCCTTTGCTATGTAACATAACATGCACAGGCATTTACACAGGAAGCTGGAGTGTAAACTTTTGAGGGGGGGAAGTGTGTATGGATTAATTTGAAAAAAATTAGCTTTCTAACAATATAGGCTCTTCTGATCTATGCACACTGTATATGTCTCCATTTATTTATGTCTTCTTAAGTTTCTCATAAGAATGTTTTGTAGAAATCCTAGCAAGCAATTTTTTGTGTAGAAATTAACAAACTGATTCTAAAATTCATGTAAGAATGCAAAGGACTTAAAGATAACCAAAAGAAGAGCCCAAGAAAAGAACAAAGTTGGAGAGTATACATTATCTCATTTTAAGACTTATTATAAAGCAACAGTAATCAAAACAATGTGGTATTGCACCAAGACAAATTGATCAATGGAGAGTCCAGAAATATACCCACACATTCGAGGTCAATTGGCTTTTGACAAAGGTTCAATGCAGTTCGGTGAATAAGTAGTCTCTTACAAATATGATGCTGGAACAACTAGGTATCTGTATGTAAAAGAAATTTTATCCTGATCTATTGATTTTTTTATTATAAAGATATGGGGTACAATTCAGGGTTAAGTATACAAGCATTGATTATGCAGGTACCCTTGTTGATGAAGTATGCCCCTCCCTCCCCTAGCAGTTTCCCTCAACTGCCAATCCCAACCCCCCTTCCCTAACAGTTTTCCATTACTGCCAAATGTTTTTTATAGTATTACAATTGTTCAAGGTTCATTTATGAGTGAGAACATATGGTACTCTGTTCTGTGATAGATCACTGAGTATGATCGACTCCAAGTTCATCCAAGTTGCTGCAAAGTCCATATATTTGTCCTTCTTTATAGCAGCATAATATTCCATTGTGTATATGTACCACATTTTCTTTATCCAGTCCAGCTTCGATGGGCAACATGGTTGGATTCATGTTTAAGCTATTGTGAATAGATCTGTAAAAAACATACATGTGCAGGTATCTTTTTTGTAAAATGATTTGCGTTCCTCTGGATATATTCCCAATAGGGGAATTGCTGGGTCATATGGAAGGTCAGTTTCTAGTTCTCTCAGAAGTCGCCACACTGTCTTCCAAGGAGGTTGCACTAGTTTGCATTCCCACCAGCAGTGTAGAAGCATTATTTTTTCTCCACATTCTCACCAGCATCTGCTGTTGTTTGTTTTATTAATGATGGCCATTCTTACTGGGGTTAGGTGGTATCTCAATGTGGTTTTGATTTGCATTTCTCTGATAATGAGTGAGGCTGATCACTTTTTCATGTGTCTGTTGGCTGCCCATATATCTTCTTCTGAGAAGTGTCTATTCATATCTTTTGCTCACTTTTTAAAGGGGCTGTTTGTTTTTTTCCTTTCAGCGCATTTGAGTTCCTTGTAGATCCTAGATGTTAGGACTTTGTCAGATACACAGTTGATAAATATTTTTTCCCATTCTGTGGGCTGTCTCCCTTCTCTCTTGATGATTTCTTTTGCTTTGCAGAAGCTCATTAGTTTGATGAGGTCCCACTTGTCTATCTTATTTCTTAAGGTATGAGCATTTAGAAATTGGTTGCCAGTTCCATTTTCCATAAGGGTGTCTCCTGCGTTTTCTAAGATTCTTATAGTTTGAGGTTTTACATTT